ACTATTATCAATATTAATATTATTATTATTATTGTTATTATTGTTATTATTATCGTTTTTAAGCTCTATTGATAAGTTAAATCACTTTACATTATTACATTTCGGGCAGTGAAGAAGAAAAGTAAAAAAAAAAAAATGGTAGAATATATGAAGGCGAAAGAAATTGATTCATAGGATATTGATATTGATTACAATAATTATTTATAATTTATCGAAAGGAAGTTAAACAACTGCTCGACACAATTTCATTTCATTCATCGATGGACCAAGAGGATAGCTCATTCTCCGAAGTTGTTGGCATTGGTGGCATTGATAAGCAACAACAAGTGTTTCTCAATTCATTATCCAGAACGCAAAATATCGTTGATCAATCACATAAAGCTATTCAGGATAATTCGAAATTGGTAAAATATTATTTAATCAAAGAAAGATTTTCTTAATTTCATTAAATAATTCAATTTAAATTTCAATTCCATTATTTTATTTTTAGTATTGTTGTTTTATGTTATTTATGTTGATGTTACTTAATTAATTAATTTAGTTATGCTATTATTATTATTTATGTTTAATTTTACACATATTGTTTTCATGATTTAATGAAATATTTTCATTTAATTATTTATTTTAAATTTTTATCTTATCATATTCACTGATTTCTGCTTATCATTTTATCACTATTATTGATTTAACTTATAGTAACTGTATACATTTACTTTTTAGATAGTCCATTTAATTATTTATTTTGAAATTTTCTCTTGCTACATTCACTCATTTGTTTATCAGTTTATCACTATTTTTTGATTTACATTATTTTTATAAATTAATGAAATAATCCATTTAATTATTCAATTTGAAATTTCTTCTTTAATGACAAAAAATTGCAGTATTATGCCTTACTACATTTAGTGATTTGCTTATCACTTTACCACTATTATGCCTTACTACATTCACTGATTTGTTTATCACTTTATCACTATTAGGCCTAAAAATACTAGAACATTTATTGTAATTTCGATTGAAGTAATAATATTACATTAGTAAAAATATATTTTTTATTTGTTGTAATTTTTCTAAAGGAAAATTTCCTACAGATAATAATTGAAGTGTAAAAAGTTTCATTACTTCCAGCTTAATAATTATAACGCTGAAGGTGATTTGGATGGTGTCTTATCAATGTATGATAATGATATCGAATTGATTGAGCCGGATACACCGATATGTCGTGGACTTGATGGTATAGTCATCTTAAATTTTATTAAGTTATCAAAAAAAAACTATAATTAATTAAGCTAATTAGTTTTTTTTATTATTTAAATAATGGCAAAAAATTTAATAATAAATATCTGGCTGAAATGAATAAAGGTGAGAGGTGTTGAAAGGTGGAAAAAGTGATGGTTAAAATAAATTTGACACCTTTTTTCATTCATCATCATCCCAATACTCACTTATTTTATAAATCAATCATATATGTAATTATGTAATTACTACTAATTAAATTAAAACAAAATAATCTTTTTTGATTATTTGAAAAAAATTAGTTGATAAATAATTATCTCCCAATGCTTTTAGATATCAATCATATATGTAATTACTACTAATTAAATTAAATCAAAATAATCCCTTTTGGATATTTGAAAGAAATTAGTTGATAAATAAATATCTCCCAATACTTTCGTATATCAATCATATATGTAATTATTACTAATTAAATTAAAACAAAATAATCTCTTTTGAATAATTGAAAAAAATTAATTAATAAATAATTATCAAACTTCTTTCTCCTAACAATTTATAGCATCCATTTTTTTACTTCATCTATTCTTTCCTACCTAAAATGAAATTATTATTATTTTTTAATTTAAATTCAAACAAATGCATGGAATTATTTTAATTCATTGAAAGCAAAAATGATGAAAATGTTGTAATATATCAAAATAATGTCGTAAATTTTAATAATTAGAAAAAATAATGTTGTATAAATAATATCATACGATTACAGTATCAAAATAAGTATTATTCGATTACAGTTTTTCAATATTTTAGAAACTATATTGTTTTAATTTTTTAAAATTATTTTTTAATTATTTTAATTTAATTAAAAAAATTTGAAATTGTTATTATAGCATTACAAGTATATTATGAAACAATGAAGAAGATACGATTATTACCGCAAGATCGTTGTATCACCGAATTGCATACGCTTAGTCCATTTATTGTTTTGGAACGTGGCAAGTATAAAATACAAAGGAGTAAGAAGAATTTCAGTGAAGGAAGGTAAAAAAAAGTTTTCTCACCTCAATTTATTACATTTCACCTATAAAATTTTAAATGATAACAAATAAGGTAAAATGATATTTAACATTTAGAAATTTGAATATTGTGTAATTTAATTAATTAAATAGTAATAATAATCAAAATTAATTAAATAATAATTATTAAAATGATGTAATTTTTGTTTGAATAGAAATGTTCAATTTAATTTACCTTTATAAAATTTTAATTTTTAAAAATTAACCAATTAATTATTTATTAATAGATTAAGACAATAAGGATAAACCTAAAAATTGAAATATTTATGAAATAAGCAAGAAAGAGGAAAGTTTTGTAAGAGATGTAATTTTTTTGTTTGAATAGAAATTTTCAATTTAATTTACCTTTATTAAATTTTAATTTTTAAAAATTAACCAATTAATTATTTATTGGTAGTTTAAAACAATAAGTATATAAACCTAAGAATTGGAGTATTTATGAAATAAGCAAGAAAACGCCAAGTTTTGCTATAATTACACTTTACTTGACCATTTCAATTGTACTCTTTCGTTTTTATATGAAATAATATTTTTCTTTTTAATTAATTAATAAATAATTAATTGGTTGATTCATTTTAAAAAAAAATGAGGATTTAACAGAAGTAAATTAAATTATTTCTTGCAATCAATTAATAGTTAATAGAGGCAATTAATTAATTTATAATTGATTTAAAAATTTTAGTCAAAAACAAAGCACAATTAATAATGCTTTGTATTTGAATTAGAAATGGAATATGATTAATACCGCATTTTGTATTTGAATTAGAATGGAATATAATTAATATCGCATATATTGTTTCAGATACAATTAATATTGCATATTTGAATTAGAAATGAAATATAATTAATATCGCATATGTTGCTCCAGATATAATTAATATTGCATATTTGAATTAGAAATGAAATATAATTAATATCGCATATGTTGCTCCAGATATAATTAATATTGCATATTTGAATTAGAAATGAAATATAATTAATATCGCATATGTTNATGTTGCTCCAGATATAATTAATATTGCATATTTGAATTAGAAATGAAATATAATTAATATCGCATATGTTGCTCCAGATATAATTAATATTGCATATTTGAATTAGAAATGAAATATAATTAATATCGCATGTATTATTTCAAATATAGTTAATATTGCATATTTGAATTAGAAATGGAATATAAATTAATAACACATATATTATAATTCAGATATTTTTCGCTATGGATCAATAGGGCTGATTGGAAAATACTGCAAGAATGTCGAATCTTATCGATATGAATTTATGCTCGATCAATTAATTAATATATGCTGTTAATTCTAATGATTCAATTTGAATTAACATTTTTTCCATAGAATTTTATTTGTTGATATATTCGCAATAAATTATGAATTATAGTTTTTGTGAGGAAATTAATTAACCTTTAAAATTTTTTTAGAAAAATAATTAACCTTTAAAAATTTAAAAATTAATTAACCTATAATTAATTTAAAATTTTAAAACAAAAAATGAATTATAATATAATATAATTTTACAATAGCATTTTTTTATATTTAAATTTTGCTCATTTATATTATTTATAATTTGTAAGCTAAATTCATTCAATCTAATCAAAATAATTGTTTGTGATTTTATAAGATTGTTTATGTGTGTGTGTGTGTGTGTGTGTGTATGCTTAGGCTTAAAAGGAAATTTTTGCAATTCCATTAAATTTAAACTAATTTAGTCACCGATAATTAATGAATGTACTTTTTATTGCAAACTATAGCAGCTAAAAATTTTTATTCCAAATTATAACAACTAAAAATTTCATAGCCTTTTTACACCTTCAATTAACCTCTTTTTCATTTTCAAATGAAAATTTATTGTTTAAATCTAATTAAATTGTCGTTCTGTTTAAATTTGAAATTAAAATTTTCGATGATTAATGAAAATATCTTCGTCTTTATTTTTCCCATGAAATATTTAAATTTTGATTAAATTTTATTGATTACTTTTGCTGACATTTTATTTTATGTTATTTGCATAAATTGTATAAAAAGGTTCATGTGAATTATCGATTTTTAATGTCCATTTCATCGAATGACTATTGCTTGTAATGTGTCATAAATGGTTGTTGGATTGAAAGTAAACAATGGATTATGGTGTAGCAAGTTATATACGTGTATGTGCACGTATGAATATGCATGTATACGTGAATAATGTGAATCGTTGATATATAAACGTACATTATAAGGAGATAAGGCCTATTCATAGTTACGATAAATCTACCTACGATCAGAAGATATTGATGGATGGATAAAGAAGAAATCGAGAGAATAATAGAATACACAGTTGGTGCATGTGGAAGCAAATCTAATCAGCACAATTCCCTGTTCCTCTCCTACGGCTATATAGACGTGGGCGTACGGATAAAATGAATGAATGAGTAACCTTCGCGCTACAACATTCCAATGATTCTTGCCACGAACTATCTAACGTTGCTTCATTTCTTCTCTTGTCGGGATTTTCATTGGGCCGTGGGTAAACGGGTTGTTGTTGGTGAATTTGACCTTTGCTGTTGTGGTTAGATATTCTGAGCGGGAAGAAGAAGACTTCGGTTATTCAATCAAGAATCTTACTTTTTCACTTGTTATTTTCATATATCTTCAAAAATCTCACCAGCACAAACATTTCGCGACATGCCGTTGTCTAACACACTCTCAAATCTATTTCAAGCATGGAAAATGTTTCTACGTTTACCTCAATTAATTATTTGAAGTTGTTTTATACATATACATACATGTGTATGTATGCGAGATTGTGTATGTGTGATCGACAATTGCGTTTTACAAATTTCGGAAGTAAATTGAATTTTGCTTTCTCAAATAACAGTGTTTGAGAAGACAAAATTCAAGCCAAGGGATAATCTTGTTATTGGATGGTTCAGTTATTTTTGTCGTAATCATTTCAAATCCAGCTCGTATAAAAAATTCAGACAATATATTGTTAGCAGACAATGATTTGAAATTGAAGCTTTCGTAGAATTTTCATTTCCGGTTGCATTCCATACGGTGCCAAGTTGGGAATTAATTCTGACATGTACTTTATGGCTTAATTAGTCAATTTTTACAGCGAGCTCATAAATATTGAAGAAGTATTTTTAAGCATTTCTTTCTAAAAAGCACAGTATCCGAGTACTTCTATTTCCTCTACTAAATAATTGATAATTTAGTGAGAGCGGAAGGGCTTAGTGCTATTACTGATGGTCAGGAACGATCTTTTCGTTTTATATTTAATCAGTGTTAAGAGAGGTGAAGGGAGAAAACAGAATTCGAATTAACTTCTGCATATGTGAAGAGCGTTGAAACTGTTGCAAATGTGAACTATGCTTTATTGATCGTTACTATAGTAAATATAACAATAAAATTGTGAAGTGATGAATAAAGGATAGGAAATATTGTGTACAAGACAAGAACTGGTACCATATACATTCCCATCGTAACATCGTATATTTTCTCTTACAAGAAATTCCCTTTCGCTTCATAAATTATTGTCTGGATGGTGTCATCTTTGAAGAAAAGAGAAATAGAAATTTCAAAAAAGTATGAATTTTTTATATTAGAAATATATTTGTAATTCTGTCAAAGAGGTACTGGAAAACCATTAATAATAGAAGCAGTGGTTCTAATAATAATGACGGATGAACTAAACTAGATTATTCTAGTTAAATTATATTTGTAACTATAGTCATACTAGTCCTATTCCTTGTTAATTATGTCTTTTAAATTTTCCATTTTGCCTCAGTGTTAGGTTAATGAAAAACTTTTAAAGGTTTTCTCTCTTTTACTAATTTCATGGATTTAAAAAAATAGTTTGAAGATATTACATAATGTAATATGGCACAATGTAGACCATTACGTTAAACCTTCAATTTTTCAACTTTTCTTATTCTATTTTTTTGCTGAAATAGAAAGAAGTTTTATGCGGAGCAAGTCATATCTTCATATCTCGAATATCTGATGTGAATAAATCTTTATCATAATATAGTGATAATTGTAATTAATTTTCGGTATGTAAATATGGATGATCATGTTTTTGTTTCTACTTTTTCTTTTTTGTTTGTAGAAGTTGTTTTCTTGTCGATTTATGAAAACGTTTTTCGATGAATTGCTTTAATGTCTTTGTTGGACGGTAATTGTTTCCGAAAATTGGCACGTATATAATTTCAGGGAATAGCTGATTAGGAATTTTATTCTCCGAAAATTGAGTCAGAAATGTCAAGAACTTTGCAAGTGCTCACGATTGAGCCTTCCCATGAACTTATCTTCAAAGGTTTTTTTTTCATTTACTAATGTCATCGATTTAAAAATAGTTTGGAGGTATTGTGTAATGTAGTATGACAGACTACTGCATTCAAGGTTGTCCTGTTTATTGACAGAATAACAGCTTTTTTTTAAAGTTAGATGACGTCAAAATGAAATTTCATGTATAGCGCAAGTCTATCAAGCGCACTAATGGTGGTAATGTTGAAATATCTTTTTTTCCAAACTCTCTAGGACCAAAAAGAAGTTTTATAGTATAGATGCTAGTTTTGTTTGAATTATATGCAATTTCATATTTTGTTGCATATTTTAGAATGTTTTTGATACAGGAACACCTAAAATGGAAAAAAGCAAACATTTGAAGGAAATGGTTGTGCTGACGATTTTGCTTTTTCAGGTCCCTTTAATGACGTGGTGACTTGTCAGATGAGGTTGACGAACCCTACAGAACGTCAAGTTTGCTTCAAGGTACGTAAAACTTGTCTATGTTCAGAACATAAAAAAAAATTATTCGCAAGTTCCTGGTAGAACATCTGAGTGTTTGTTTTACCTGTTGTTCAAATCCAGCAATAATGAATGGTATTGGACGTATATACTCATCTTTATGCAAAATACTTTGGCTAGTAATATATTTCATTAGTGTTACATATTATCAGACGTTGAAATACTTTTGGTTTTGTTTGGATGATTTAGGACTAATTATGAGTTACTGTATAACAGGAGTAGTGCATTTTATACTATGTCTTTTGTTAAAAGAATCAGGTTTACTTATTCATGCGATATTTTTGCCATGGTAAGACAATGCGTTGGTCCGAAAATGCTGGGAAATCCACCGTTTCCTGAAACATTGGAGCAGCTTTTTCTTCATGAATTGAAGTTCGATTTGGATTCAATTTATTTGTTTAGGTAAAGACAACAGCTCCAAAACAATACTGTGTCCGTCCGAACTCGGGTGTTCTCAATCCAGGAGAAATGTGTAATGTAGCAGTTATGCTTCAGCCATTTGATGCATCCAGTAATGTTGAAGTAGAGCACACAAAGCATAAATTCATGGTGCAGAGCGTTTATGCACCACCAGGCGATCTCTCCTTGGGTATACGCTTGAATGTCCTTTTTAATAGAGTTTTTTATATCTTTTTTTTTTGATTGTAGCTGACTGATTGTAGCTTCCATTAAAAACATTCGTTAGTTTATGATTTTAAACAGAAGTTTTGGTATTTAAAAGCGTTCGATGAGATTAATTTAAATGAGCTAAGTTTTTCATCTTGAAGTTTTTTGTTTGCATTCTATTTTCTGCTTAGGACCTCTGGGAGAGAGGAAGATGGTCTTCTTTAGTGTAGTGGTTCACAGAATAGTTGAGAGTTATGATATTTGAGTTCGGTTCTGTTGAATGCGCGATGATTTAGATTTATGACTAAAGTCTGAGGTGGATGGTCAGCCTCGTCTGAATAAGACGGAACCCAAGGTGTGACTATTCGTCATGGGATTGAAGCTTTAGTCATTGTATGAGCGCTTTCATCTTATGGCTTTGCAAAATTTAGGAACAGCTTGGTCTTTGATCTGGCCTCGATCTGGGTTCGTTCTTTGGGATGTTCAGATTTTGGGAAGGATAGTTAAATGCATAATTATGGTGTGCGTGATTTCACAACTAGATAGTATTTGAAAAAATGCAGATAGTATTTGGAAAAATGCACAGCCTTCCGAACTTATGGATTCAAAGTTGCGAGTCGTCTTTGAGTATCCCCCTGCTGCGGAATACAGAGGCGACAAAACTCCTCCTCGAGTGTCCTTGGAATCAAGACCTGCAACTGGTGGATATCCTGCGGTACCGTTTAGATTTTACGCTTCAGATTTTACGGAATTAATTCAAATTTATTGAGAAGTATTAAAGTAACCTTGTTTTTTTTTACTATCTTGCTTAAGCACTTTTTATTTTTAATTATGCTGTTTGTCACTCAGTTTTCCAATATACTGGAATGATTCAGAATATGGATGCGGAAGTGCGTCGTGTAATTGAAGAGAAGAATAGAGTAGAAGCTGCGAAGGCCAGTTTGGAAAGGGACAATAATAACCTTAAGGTTGGCGAAATAGATTTAGAGTTTTTGCATTCCATACATCTACTTTTCTTGTTTAGTTTTCCGTAAATATTTCCTTATGATTAGGTCATTGAGCTTTTTCAAAACGATCTTATCTAAATTTGTTAGAAAAATGATTTCGTGTTTCCATCTCAATTTTAGGCTCGACTTGCTGCACTTGAGGCTATTCCTCAAGTCACAGGTAGTCATATGTCAGAAGGTGGAATCACAATTCTTCAGGTGAGTTATGTGATTTAAAATGCACGCAAGTGCTGTTGTTCAAGATTTTCAGCTCTTTCTTGACACTATAAAAACTTCTATATCTTCTGTGCGTCTAGGCTGACTGGAACAAAAGAAGATATATCCAGAAAATGTTTCCGATTGAATTTCTCCATGTCACTTGTCGTATAATAATATGTAGCATATTTAGAAAACGCACTTAAATTCCATATTCCAAATGATTTCGTACTATGATTATGTTTTGCCACGAAAAAATTTCCGTAATTCAGATTTAATGATTTTTTGCTGGAACGCTCTCATCTAAGCAGTCATAGTTAATATTGCACGTTATACTTTCTAATGGTAAATTTACATTAAAAATTTGCGTTGTGTTTACATTAAAACTGTTATTTTCAGATGGTGCTGATTGGATTTGCTGCCCTTATGCTTGGACTCATTTTTGGCAAACTATTCTGAGATGATATGGGATATACTTATTGCTGTTTTGCCAAAACGATTAAAGCTAACACAATTATTGATCAAAGTAGAGAAACTTAAAAAGTTAGCGTGATGTAAATCCATTTCAACTGTGAATGATTATAATTTTTTTGTTGTCCGGTTATAAGTTTTTTATCTTTCTTTCTTTATTCGTTTTTGATATATCTGGGCGCATTAAATTTCAGTGAATCCTTCATTAATTTTCTGTTGCTTTCTTATTTCTGTTTGGAAATAATGATGTCCGGTGTAACGTGGAATATAACTATGAAATTATTGTTTCTGCCTTTCTTGAGCGTCGGATTTTGGGGTGAAACATGAAAGAGAAGAGTCAAGAAAAAAGTATAGATAAAGCAGATTTACTTCCTTGATTCTTCAGTTTCCAATGAATTGAAGCTCTTTACTTTTGATATTGCGTGGACTTCACTGTATCCCAAGTGCCATCACTTTGTTTCTCTCTTCTTTATCTGAAGTTGAGAAAAAATGCTTTCGAGATGTCAAATAACTGTAAGTTTTCAGTTACTGGCATCAATATTTGAAATAGCAGCAAATGTGAAGGTAATCTTTTATTTCATAGTTAAATTTTTAACGAAGCGTAAATATCAGGAAATAGTACAGTGCAACTTTTTAATCATACCATCTCTGATCTAAATTAAATGCTCACACATTTTGTTTGAATTCGGACGTCGCTTGTTAATTACTCATTTTGTTAGAGAGATATCGAATAAAACTACCGGAGATCATTTCTTAAAAAACTCTCATTCACTTGACTCTCCACTCCAACTGTATTTTAATTACGTCGATAATGTGGGTAGAAGTTGTCTTTATAAATTTTGAATTTTTTCCTGAAACTATTACTGACACTTCCATAATTCAGTAGATCTGTGGATTAAAATGTTCTTTTCGCTAGGATTACAATGTTCTTTTGGGAAGATCGCTAGCTTTCACAATAATGCGCAGAGATGATGAAGTTGTTCGTTCGTTGTCACATGTATTTATGAACTTGACAGATTTGGTTTTCTTTTTTTTTCAAATTATTGAAATCTTCAAAATGAAATATCCAATTTTTTCGTTTTGTTGTCACTGTCAATAGTCTTTAGCCATTCAGTAACCAAATCTTGTACACGTTTTTTTTCTTGCTGGAATAAACAGTTTTATTTTTTTGGGCTTTCTGATTTATGATTCAAATAATGATTGTTGAATTTATAATTTGGGCTTCCAGCCAATTTCCTATTGATGATTTAAGGCCATTTTTTTTTTAAAGCATTGTTGGAGAAGTTTTTGTTAGATTGGATTTTGCTTTTTATATGAAAATCTGCGGGTTGACAGACTATTTCGTTTTGCTGAAATAATGTATGACTTGCTGTGTTTTAGGATTGCTTAAGATGCAGGACAGGGTATGCCATTTCAAGAGTTTAAAACTTGTAACTTACCATGTAGATACTAGGAAGCAGTGTTTAAGTCACGACATTTACACCTATTTTTGGCAATCAACTTATAGTTCAGTTTTCTCTGAAGATCCAGTCTCGGAAATTTATTTGAAATCAGACGATAAAACAGAGGTCAGCAACCCTGAATCTTCTATCCATTCAGATGTCTGTTCCCATAATAATTGCGTAAACAATAATTATTTTTCATGTTCATGTTGATATGACAATTTATTTAGATCGATGGATTTCCACGAATTAATAGTACGTTATGCGCTAAGGTACAATTATGTCAAGGTTGCCCGATTGTTGGTCTCATCTCTTACCAACGAAATGCATCTTGAATTTGCGTTTTTCATCATGAAATATATCGTTAGCAATCGGAAGTATACCAATTATTCAATTGTTCGGGAATTAGCAAAACAGCTAACGATGCATAAGCTTCCATCAACAAGTCGAGAATGTAATGCACACCGAATTGAACGAGCGGCTGCTTACATTGTAAGAAAATTACGTAGCCTTTATGTTTTACTTTATATTTAAACAATAAATTTATGTAAATGTAACATGTATAACACATGAGAATGAAAAAGGAACAAGGAAAAGAAGGAAATGGACTTAAGCAAAACAGTATTTAGATGTGACAGTCATACTTGGGAATACATCTATAAAATCTAAATATATAATTTCGTTTTTGGTTATTATTCAGGCTTCTTTCATATATCTTACACATTGAGAAATTCTGGTTAACTAGAGAGCTCTTCGAAATTTTCGTACTCAACATTACAGGTGCTGATGAAAGACCTCATTGCCACAAAGGATAATCCACGAAGAAGGGCGAGAATCATTTCTACAATTAAAGAACTTTTACCTAGTACTGGAAAATTCAAGGTCAACTTTCATTGATATTACACACTGAAAATGTTGCAAGATTTCACCACCTCTACTCCATTCCCAGCCTTCGTTCCGTTTTTTTCCTTGAACGTTCTAATATAAATTGAGAACTTTAGCAGTGTTACTGTAACAACTAAGGACACTCCGTAAAATTTATCCATACCAATAAAAGTTTCGAAGTTTTAAAAATGATGTGTCGTCCGATCTTTGGAGTATTTTAGAGCTGAAAATCTTTTTGAAATTATCAGTATAATGTGAAAATTTCCCTCAAATTCGCCGTAGTTGATTTTGTGACAATTCAGTCTTGTTTTCAGGAACTTGATGCTGAAATTAAGAAAAGTCGTGTAGGTCTTTTGGCAATCACGATGAAGGAGCATCGAATCAGCTGGTTACAACGTGAATTTAATAAGCGAGCTGAAAAGATATCTACACAAATTGATAAATACTTGGATATTTTACGAACAGACTTACTACTACCACCACTGGAGGGATTTACACTGGAAAGGTGGGTACAGAGTAGTGTGCCTGAACAAGCTGCTCTGGCAGATATTGTCACATCAAATGGTCTCTGCGAGGAAAGCCTGCTACAATACTTCGAGCTTATTCAGAATACACCTAGTCTTAGTGTTGATTTCTTCCATGGATGTTCGAGTGATCTGTTCACTGAACGAGAGCAAATTCTGAAATCTGTAGTTATTGACTGATTATATAAACATATGTTACGGTTGTAAATGGCAAATAGATGGTTGATTTTGATGGGAGTAACTACTCCGTATATCCCTTGTAAATTACTGCAAATGAATTTGTCAGAAGAAGCTTATGTGTGTAAGCTAAGATTATTTTCGTAATACATTTGACCAAAACTTCAGCTAGAAAAAGGTAGCTTGAAGATGTAGGGAAGCTCAAGGTCCTAATGTGGAGTTGGAACAATGACATTATCAATGTTACATAATCACAATGTAACTTTTAATACACTATTAAACTATACTAGATCAAGAAAACGGAAACCAAAATATCTGGCGGCACGGGTATAAAGGATTTTCAAAGATAAAACCAAGAAATAAAATAGTATGCGAACAAATAGCGTAACCAATTCAAGTAAAGAATCGCAAAACAAGGAAAATATTTCAGATGAAAGACTTTGAACATATTTAATCTCAAAATCTTGAGAAAAATACTGCTTGCATGGAATGATTTTTAGAGGAATGATAATCACTAAAAGAAAGCAGCAAATTATCAACCTCTCTTTCCAAACAAATCAGAAGGAGGCGGCACGACCAACTTCCAGAAAATGCAGTTGGTGATTAATAGGGTAAAACATAGAACGCACAGAGAAAGTGATTCAAAAATAAATTTTGGGGCAAAAATTTTCCAGACCATCAAATGTCGTCGATGTATGGCTGCCATTGCACACACTGATAACGCCTGAAACTCGATTACATACTGTTCTTACTTTTTTTCAAATAATCGATGATCTAATTTTTAGCTGTGTCAACTAATTTGCTGAAAATTAATTGCATTAAATAACTGAATGGTCTTGCTAAGTGAATTTACGTACACATCCCATTTGGGAAAACGAAATGATAATTTGATTTTTTTTCGCTGACGACTGGATGATTTATACAGAGTTCCAATTTTTGGAAGTCTTAAACATTTGTCTTCGCGCTTTCATTCGTTATTATATATTATTGGGGATAAAATAAGGCATTCGGTATTTCAAGATCGAATGATTTCTCGTCAAAAGTACACTAAGTTGTATGAGCAAATATTGCGTGAATCACGTAGTACTTACATGTCAGCATTGTGACATCATAACACGTCAAATCAAAAAAAAATTGAAGTCTGATATTTTGCTGTATATTTGCATCCGCAATGTTTCCTGAAATAACTTAAACTAACCTTTAAGGAGTGAAATAAGATCAATTTATAAGTCCAATGTGAAAGGCCAGATTGTCGATGATTTTGTTGTACAACAAGCATAGGCAGCGCTACGCTTGTGATGATTTGTGATGCAAAAATATGCGCAACAACAAGTGCACCTGGCACTATTTGGATGGCAAAATTACCGGGAACACCCACGAAGGCTGCTTGCCAAGGAATTGATGAAAATGTCGGTTGATGTGACAAGGAGAAGAATCCATGCGACGACAGGAAAACAAGAAGTACTATTTGGTAATATTCTGAAAAACGAAAACTGCATGAAATTGAAGTTGCCAAATAAATACGAAAAAAGTATGAACTTTTAAATAATCAGTCCTATATTTTTATAGAAAACCGAAATCTAAAACGAAAGAAAAATAAAAAGCATGTCTTAAGAATATACAATATACAAACAAATAGTATACCATCATCAATAATAAACGGAATGAGGAAGATTATTATAATTAACGAAAGGAAACTGAATGATAGACCATCACCCAAGATTAGAAATAATATAGATGATATGCACATTAAATATGATATTGCGCAATTACTTTGGCTCCAAAATTTTCCTATGCGAGCTGCATGGAAACAAATAATTAATAAATTGATGAACGACAATCCATAAACAATCTGGAAATAATAATTTACATATCTGCTAATTCGAGTATGGTAGAGCAAAAGAAGAAAAAAAGCAAACTCGAACAAAGATGAAGTTTTTAAAAACAATATAAAGGATTTCTTTTTAAGCAATAATTTTTTTTTGTTGGTCAAAAAACGATAATTTTGTTGGCCCATATTACTAAAAGGCACATCACGTGGTACCATTTAATCTTAGGACCTTATGGAAGCATTTTATTGCAATGTAGAACTATCGCATTCAGTGCAAAACTCATCGTCATACTGTGTCAGTGGTAGTACTATGTTTAATTCACAACTAACCTGAGCAGTACCAAGTGAAAACCGAGCAAAATGGCTAAGGGTATCTTCGGGTAACCAAAAAGAGAGCCATAAAGCAATAGTAGCAACTGTTCTTGGGAAAATCAATGTCGAAGTCCAAATTTCAGATGGATAACTTTGTAGATATTTTGTCGCCATGCATGCAGCCACAATCTGTACTAAGATACCGATCATAAAACGCATTACTTTCACAGGACCTGAAAAAACTACTGCCTTATGAGTTAGAAATTTGATTACTTAACTATAATTTGATTAAAATCACAATAGCTGAAGTAATTAGCAACATATCTAACGTGTGCTTATTCCGCTTAAATGAAAAATCCATGGAGGTTTGCTGGAAAATAATTATTTACTTCATTTTCTTCATTTTTTTATGAGTTATTTAGATTTCCACGAAGTGAAAAACACTCACTATGAGGGATATGCGAAAATGACTGTGAAAATATTGTATCTTCACATGCATCTCCTTGCTCTTCTCGACATTTTTCAAAGAAAATACCCAACCGCAAAAGTAAAATAACTGTAATAAAAATAAGAGAACGTTGCCAACTAAAACGATTTCCCAAGATTGCTAAAAACGATCTCGGTTGATGCCGATTACTATGTTTCCTGCAAATAACATGATATCCACAAAAAAACCATCATTGTCTGGAGAAGTTAATATTACAATTTCTGGAGATAAATCAATACACTCATAAAATGTGATATATTTTTCTTACTCTTCTCCATTAAATTCAAATTAAACTTTAAACTGAAACTAAAAGTGGTCTTTGTTATTTTTTCGATTTAGAAACTTGTGTCTACTTAAAAATATCATGTTTTGATTTGCTGACTATTCAAAGCTTAAATAAATTCTTTGGAAATCGTATACCTATTTGAAAATGATTGCCAAAATGCAATAGCAACCAAAGTCTGTGTCAGAAAACGTATTACGGAAGATTCAAAAACAATGTAGCTATTGGAAAGAAAAGATAATGCATGTGTGACAGCTATACAAAATACAGCAATTTCCCAAATTGTTGATGTGAACGAAAATAACGTCCTGGCTGTTTGAACAAGTCGAATAATCAAAGAAAAAGATAACAAGAAATCCAAAATTGCAATATAGTGTTCGTCATCTCCAATTAAAAAAACCGACGTTTGAATGAAAAATAGACCGGACCGAAAAACCAAAGAAGCAAATAAAATGCTGAAAAAATAAAAATGAAATATATTTATATGACTTAAGAAGATATTCCGATAGTTGACGCTATGTCAAGTTATAAGTTAAATACGGAACAAAACAATCCGCGCATGGTACCTTCTGAAAAAGCACGACTGCATCCTATAAATAATAGTTGGATTTCACGAAAAAATCCACAATGTCAATCACCAAACTACTCTGTTTGGAGGTAAAATTTTTAATAATCTATAGATTTTATAAATGAGCTTACTTTCCCGTATAAAGTGAGTCGTAAACCGATAATATGGTATCAATCAACGATAGAAAACCGATTCGCATCAAATTACTATTGAATTCAGTCCATGAAGCACGCAAAAGTTCTTGTAAACGCCGCATGTAGTCAATGGAGTTTTCTACATTCCCATTATTCTCGAAGCTTCGTATCAATGAATCTAACTCTGGCAATTGAGTTTCTGCCACAATAGTCCGTCCATAACGCATCATCTGCTCTGCATTACTGCTTATAGCTAAGGCCCGATGTTCCGGTAGTATAGTGCAATCAATCAGTATTCCGATATTAGAATATGGAATGGGCGAATCAAGTAACAGACTGATCGTTGGCACAATGTCAACCTGAAAAAACATTATACCGTTTCGATTATTCTAAAGTGGATGCAAAATAAAATAACTGTTTAACAGATGACAAGTACCAACTGATACATCAGAAATTCTCCAGGACTCACGAAAAATATGTAAAATGACTGAATTTAAGATTGACAGATTTAAATACCTCACAAAATCACTCTACTGAGAGACTGAGAGATCTTACTTTGTAAATGTCATACAATTTATACGAAGCATTAGTTAGGCTTATTAGCTCAGTAAATTTTACTAATCATATTGTATGAGCAAGTATAAAATTTCAGTGCATAAAAAAATGAAATGTATAAAAACTTACTTTCATTGTAGAGTAAAAATGAACCAAACTAACGCTACGTAAGTTGCGATCAAAATTATACCTGTGAAACTGATTCCGGTGGTTCCGTAAAAATTAGTTTTTTTTTAGCAAACATAAATAAAGCAGCATCAATTTCCAGTAGTTCATCGCCACCATGATCACCATTTTCAGTCATTCCATGATCACCCATTACCAATAACAAAGTATCATTATCTATTGAATCGACCACTTTCGCCAAAATTTCATTCATTTGTTTTAATTTTTTGGACATTTCAGGATGATCTGGACCATATTTATGCCCACAATGATCAACACCAAGAAAATGCGCTATCAGCACAGTCCAATCCGATTTTTTAAGCTCATCGAAAAGATTATCTGCAACATGGACTCATCTAACAATATAATAGAGGAAAAAGTGATATAAGAGACAGTTCACTCACAGAAGAAATTTACTTTTCTGATGAAACTTACTTGAAATCATCTGATCAGCGGTATGAAGATCATTTATATCAAAAGATGGCAAATGATACCTACGTTTGAACTGTTCTGGATAGAGTGAAATCCTGAAAAAAAGCAAGAGATTGTATAATTATATACAAAGGAATAACTGAAACGTGCTATTGTATCAATACGTAAGTAACAATGAGTCTTCGAAATAGTGTACAATCAAAAACGAATAAAAAGAATTCCTAAATCTCGAATTTTTACACTCAACTCTCTTCATAATCGAAGCACTCTACCATAATTTTGCTATATATTACAGCAAATTCTCCGACCAAGAAATTATGCCCTATTTTTTACTGACTACATTCGTTGTTGTGAACAACTTACCACGTATCGTCTCCAACCATAACGATACTTCGATTCGTTACGATAATTTCATCAATCCAGTTATCTTCCAGTATTGCTGCACCTGCGAAATTTGAACCAACATCAATAAAAGTGGGAAGTGAACCAGTGGTTAGTGCCTTCAAACGCTGCATCGTAGTAGTCGGAGCATCGGCACGGAAATGCATTAAAACTGCTGATTCTAAAATTTGATTTTAAGCAATCTGTAACTCATCAAGAAACGAATTTCAAGTTACTGTTTTTTGAAGATCACGCATTTTCACCAGTCACAAGAGTGAGTGCATTAATTGGTAGCACGGTTTTACTATGCTTAATTTTCAAACTTTCATCATCTCAAAATTAAGATTTAGTCCACTTCGAATTATATTACTTCTCATCAGCTAATAACTAGCAATATTTAATAATCTTTTGCTATTATTCTCTGCTAAAATTGTTTTGTATCTGAGAATTTTTAATGTCCATTACTTTTAGCACACTCAAAAATTATGGGATGAAGAAACAAAGGTTTACACAAATTTACAAGAAAGTATTTACTTACCTCTACAATCATTAAGTAAACGAGTAATGGTCGAAAAATGACCGGAATATGCTTTGTTGCTACTGTTGAGCTGTGGTTGAGATGGTGCAACAAAATCGTATCGTAAAGCATCAATCAGAACAACAACAACCCGTTGATACTGAGCTGGAAACCAACAAGCATCACGTGAAGCAACATCCGAACATGAACTGCGTGACGTGAGCTCAATTCGCTTGAGTAAGAAACCGTGTTGAAAAAGCAATAACGATATGAAGAATGAAATACCAGTAAACGCAATATTGATCAAATGAACCTGGAAAATCTCATAAATTTATTATATTTAGTTGTGAGAATTTCTGAAGACAATTCGGCCACAAACAGGACACATAAAATGGAAATTTTCGTTTCTACAGAGATGATACATACCGTTTCTTTGAAGCTTCTCGAATGAATACCCCATCTATTTTCTGACACCGTTAAATTTGTACTATTAACATAATACGAAAAACATGATGCTAATTTTTACGCAATTTCACTCACAATTTTGCCATTCATTTGCTCGAGACTGACCATGGCAGTTCCGGAACCGGTACCAATGGAAGTGTGCGGAAATGCCGCAATTCTTTTGGTATACCTTCAAGATCTGCAAATGGTGAATAGCTTCAAGGAAAAAGAAACTTGGACTAATAAAAAGTTAGAATTTACATTTCTGCAATAAGCAGCTTATAAATTCATCTTTCAGTTAGAAACTTTCGAATGGCAGTCTTACCGAAGTTGCGGTCATCTTTTACAGGACCATACTTGCTTCCAGTTATATTATTGTTCATTAGATATTACTTATTTGATATTCAAACTTAATAATTTTAAATTCAAACCGTCTGAGTAATCTAATGACATGAATCGGATGAAATCTCTGGTTGATGGTAATGTTTCGATGTCCAGATCTTTTCTTACGTTCTTATGTCCCACCTTTTCGATACGTCCGTTCACGTCCGTTCCGTGTAAAATAATTTCACTCGTTTTCTCCCCCTGTTCGCTAACCACCTCTTGAACAACTTTCGCTTTCTCTTTACTCTTCACTGCTACCGCACTCTTATTTTTCACCTCCGAACTCTTTGCTTTCCCTTTCTCCTTTATTTCTGTTTCCTGAATTTTGTTTTTTTCTTTTCCTCCCAACAAATTCTTGCTTTTTGTAACACGCTCCTCAACTCTTTCTTTCTTTTTTCTTTGTTTTAATTCCAAAATTTCTTTTTGTTTTTCGCCTCTGTTGTCACACCTATACTTATTTCTCTTCTTTCTTTTTTGATCCGTTTGAGGAAATCCATTACTGACGTGATTCCCACGTTGTTTCAATTCTTTTTCCAATTCCTTTCGACGTTCTTCTTTACGTTGTTCGTGCAGTGATTCTAATAATGCCTTTTTTACATCACTTCTATCAAATCCTTCCTGAAACTAAGAATTTAATTCGAACCTAAAAGTTCATTAATAAAAAATTTCAACTCATGCATTTTCGATCAACAGATTAACAACATTCAAGAAATTATCCTTATTAATGACAACATCTTCCGTTTCCTATTAAATTAACCAATGATTCCTGAATAACGGTCTTTGATTTCGTAATTAGAAACTTCCTCGACCTTTCGAAGAAATTCTTTTTAAATAGTCACCTCTTCCTTAACTTCTAGACGTGGCCTTAAAAGTCGCCGTTCATTGAAGCGTCTTGTAAAATTTCTTCTCATCAATAGGAAAAACCATTCGTGCAAGATATAAAACTAGAAGCCGGAAAAATTATTTACAACTCTAAATTCCTCGAAAGTTCACATCGGATTCAGAAGAGCTGAATATGAACAGAGTCTAAAAATTATATTCATAATCAATCTAAAATTGTTCATAAATTGTGTTCAAAAAAACAGTTCAGCATGAATGGGTATGAAAACTTGATTTTTTTTAGATCTAGAATTAGCACTGTAAGTGACCACCCTCTGGAAACCATTAAAAGTGCGCTGATCTTACCACATTCAAACTACCTTATTAAGAATAACTTTTCCTGATGCCAAACTTTTCATATGAAATATTCATCATGTATTTTTCACAATTCACATCTCTTCGCGTACTCTTCTTACATCAAATGATTATCTATCTAAGATGTATAACAGCGTCTCAGCTGTTTGCAATAATACCACATTTATATAATGCAAATGACTGAAATATAAGACAACTTTTTCTTGACGACCAAACAAATAAACAAGAAAATATTACGCAGCTTACAATCATCCATCCACTAATATATGAAAATGCGAAGCGTTAAAGTAGTAACACAAGCACACATTGAAGCAAACAGAAACAAGCAGAGAAAGTACTTCATTTGAAAAACGAACAAAATTTGGATTTGAATTTCGAAAACAACAAATTCAGAGTGATTGAAACAATGATAAATAAAACAATTCAATTCAATATCACAATAAATTGAAAAATAGAACATTTAATGAAGGATGATAATGCCTCAGTACAAACTGATTAATTGGCCAAATCGATTAGTCAAGTTCGGCTTTATTAATGAAGTATCTTGGTTTTAACTGGATCAATTGGCCGAAACGATTAATCAAGTTTGGTGTTATTGCTGAAATCATCTCAACCTAGTTTTGTATTTAGCAGCATCGGTAGTAATTGAAAAACATATCCATACATAATTATAATCAGTTCTACATTCTAAATCCAAGCTTCAAAAAAAATGAAACCGTCAAAAATTCCTTTTCTAGTTTGAAAAATTCCTCGTTTTATCATATCCCACTTGCTCAATCTAGATTTCTTTAGGAGAACCTTAGGAAATACTTCTGTCAATCTTGCGTGCAAAAAAAATTATACTTCGTTCTCGAATTCTCTTTTTAAATTCCTTACATGATGGAAAAAACATCACACAATGCCTTCATTCACGTAATCAAGTAATAATATATATGAATGGAAAGTGGTAGCTTATTACGTGCTCCCCCTACTCTCCCTATTTAAAAATAATAAGTTAAGAGCACTGAGATTTATATATTTGGGAAGTTTTAAAAAACAAATATCATAAAGCAATCCCAATTGTCTATCAAAGCAACAAACCAATGAAACGATCAAGCGAAAGCCTACCACCAAAGTGCAACTAAAAAACTAAAAATAATTCGAGATTTAACAAATTTCCAATGAAACGTTGCAAATATTCAACCCAATTTGCTATCAACCTCTTGCTTCATCAACAGTAAATTTAGAGACACAGGCTATGAAAATAGTACGGAAATTTTTAAGCTTCTCTTTTTATATAATATGAGAACAGCATATTTGTGGTCCTAAACACAAAGAGCTTTACTAATACACTCAAACTGAATGAACTTGCGTAAATGAAAAACAAGCTTTATGACACGTCCATTTCTTCTTGTTTTTCTTTCATCTGACAGGATACTTCACTCAAAATTTCTAGTCTTTCACCTGCGTTTTCTATTTTATCCATCGTAACTTCGGGACTCGCCTTTCTCATCTTCCCCTCTATAATATCTGTAGACACAGATTCCTCAAAAACGGAATTAATACATGGATTCGGAACTGTTTCGGAAACATTATCTATCGCTTCACTGAAAATTTTTGACGATTTCTCACTTACAATTAATCCACTGTCATCTGGAGTTTTCGATTCGCAGAATGACACTTTACAGTGATGACTTTGGGATGACTTTTTTCTTTTACTAGAATTTTTCCTCAATGGTTGGATGGAAGATTCAGAATCTGTCTCAATATTTCTCGATGTCGCACTTGACTTCCTAGATAATTTTCTTACATTTGGATCTCTAAAAAGCTCCTCTTTTTTTTCGAAACTGTTACTTTTTAATATTCTTTCCTTTTCAATGCCTTCAAACTTCTCACTTCTGTTTGATAAATTTTCTTCCACTATTTCGGATTTTGTTCTCATATTCTTTGAACTCGCAGTTTCAAGAGTCTCACACGATATGCTACGTTTAACCAATGAAGATGATGATCCTGACTTTTCGCGAGCTATTCGAAGCCTGCAAAATAACTACAAGACCATAGAAGCAGACAACGTAACAATAAGGACGTTCATAGGAAATGTTCCATGAAAACAGTTTTCAAATATGATTTCAGTCAACACCGGAAATCTTCAAATACTTAATGAGATCTTTTTATGACGCAGTCACATGCTGTAGGTTAAGTTTTTCAATCGAATTGGATGATGACAGAAATTGTATCCCTTATTCTTTATTCACTCGTAATAAAGTAGATCAAATTATTCTAAACATTACTAAAAACCTTCTTACCAAATGAATCCTTGATTTCTAAATTCCCAGAATGACGGACTTACCTGAGCTTGAACAGCCTCTTTTTATCTGATTTCGATGCCGGACGAATAAGACGATGCAATTTGAATGGAGCATCCTTTGGTAATTTCGGTGGATTCAAAGGATCTGTGTTGTAAACATTAAGCAATGCATGTGCCATGTATACTTTTTGGCTAGTTTGTACTGATCGTCCGCTGCGGTTCTTCTGAATACAAGCTGTAGAACGTAACGATATTCCTTCATTGTCTTCCTCGTCAATACTATCATCGAACAAGTTACGACGTGATGTGCAGCGACCATAAAATACCTTCAAATAATTAATTTCAAGAAATCTCTCTCTCCTTTTTTCATCGCTTCTTGCATTTGGATGAAACGTGGTTATGCAGAATCCAAGAAGTTTCACTTTTAATTTTTATTCTTTTCCACTTAAAGAAAAGATTATCCAATAACTTAGATTCTTGCAAAAAAAACGTAAAGCTTGTGACAACTGATTTAGATATCAGCAGCAGAATGTTCCGGTGGATTTTTGAAAAAAAGAGAAAAAAAGTAGATGAATTTTTCGCAGTAAGAAAATTTATTTTTTCCAACGGGAATTTTACGATAAGCACAAAAATTTGAAGCAATTCAATATACATTGCGAAAACAGAGAAAAGTAGCTTAAAGTACCTCGCCTTTTAAGCCGCTTTTAATTTTTTTCTTAAGCGCTTTGAATTGAAAATCTGTATTTCCCTTTTATTTACCTCATTTTTATCACTTTTACGTGCCGACTGACGGACAGCTTCGATGCGTTTGCGATACCGCTCAACGATACTTTTGTCCAATGATACTTCTTTGGTCGTAATCTGAGACTGAAAATCCTCTGGAAATGAAATCCAACAAGCTTGCAAATTTTTTAGTAATGGTGGGAAATCAGTTATTTTTAATCAAGTGACCCTTTTCTCTTTCTTTTCACCAATTGGTCTTTTCTCATGTAAACACGAAGCCTCTTATACTAAGAAATATTATCTAACAAAAGTAAAAGCAGTTGAGATACCAACAAAAAATCATCGATTAAAGCAGCACACAGCAAGAACTGCTGAAGTGCTGTGGTGTGTACAGAACAGGAATCAAATAACGACTGTTAGAAATTCTTCCATCGTTCTTGTCCGATTACTACTAAACCGACTAAAATTCCACTCGCTTTACATATAAGCAAAAAACTCAGATCATATTCTGCTAAATTTTCTTTTTCCTCTTATTTTTTTTTCAAATTCATTGGTGAACACAAAAGAGAAGGCTATCTAATCAAACTGGAACTCGATTGCTTCTCATTTATAAACTGGCACTTACTGCAGCAGGTGACGTAGTAGCAGCACATGCATTACTTTCCTCATTTAATCGATCCATCAAAGCGAAACGTTCGTTTAAATTTACACGTGCAGAACGTGTTCGTGGAACACTGGCAGGACTGGAGACAGATGATGATTGTGGCAGTGAAATGCGTGATTTTCTGGGCTGTGTTTTTCCACGCATTGCTGGAAGATTGCTTTTTTTTCGCGACTGCTGTCGCTGCTGAGATTGAGCCTTCAAACTTTTCTCTAACAGCGCTGCCAGCTTTTCATTTTTACGTGTTGGAACTAAAATTTGTTATCTATATATATAGATGTTACGCCATTCGATTCACGCAATTTATTTCGAACGCAACATGAAGTTTCATTATGTCAATTAAAATAAATAGCCGACAGGGAATCATTTTGTTTGTGACAGATAAAACGAGATATAACTAATTTAAAGAAGAGAGACACATACATACGCGATTTGGAGATGTCTGAAAATGAAAAAATGACACCATTGAAGGCATTTTTCCTAAGCAAAATAATTGTTTTTACAATCCCTTTCACATCAGCGGGATTTTAAAACCAAATAATAGACTTTGAAATGAGAAGAACACGAAGCCCTCAATCTATGAATTTAATTACTAAAACTTGTAACGAAACGTGAATATAAATCTAGTATTCTTATAAAAAAAATTTCTAACTGAATCAAACTCGAATTTAATTAAAAAACGACTTACTTCGATTGAGTTTACTAAGTGGCGTCTGCATAACGTTTTCATCATCTTTAGAAACTTTTTCATCTACTTCCTTCTTCATTTTCGATTTAGGTGTTGACGGTACAACTACTTCTCCAAGATCATCACCCTCACTAATTGTGCCAGAAGATGAACCGCCACTCCCGCCTGCTTTCTCTTTTTCTATCTCCTTATCTTCGTCTGGAAATATTTAAAATCGTTCATTTGTTTTATTTTAAGGAAATTAATATTGTATAAAGGTGAAATTAGAAAAAAAAGTAATTGGAAATAAAAATTCGAAAGGATCGGAAAAAGCTACCGTCCATATGAATTCCTACTGAGATTACAATATAAGACAATTCGCATAATACACTTAATAAATGATCTAATTCAAGTTTAACAAAACGCAGCTTACTTATATAAAGAAAGTCCGAAAATGAGATAAGATATTGCTTAAAAGCAGGGACAGAGGTTTCAAGCTTAAATTTTGAAATACATAACTACAACATATTAATTATTCCTTTAGACAATATGTATAAATATCAGAAACAAACTTACTTAAGGCAACTATAACCTCTGTAGCTAATAATCTCAATTAAGACCAAATGCATAACAAATGACTTTGACCATTTGTGTTCTCAGATAAAACAGACATACAACCATAGAATCTAATCTTAAAATTAGTAACTTTTAGATTTTGCACATGTCTTGAAATGTGAGGCAAAATAAAAACATGGCACATAATCGCAAAGATTCAAATGGAACAAATATAATCAACCAGGTAAATGGTCAATAATCTAAAATTAAAGGGTAATGAAATGAGATAGTTAAGGTAATTGACACTTAACGCTCAACAATAACGTATTTAGATACCGAAGGTCTCTTTTGGTGCGAGTAGTGTGAAAAGAAAGGAGTTCGTGACATGAGAGAGAAGAGAGTAAACCGATTATGCTGATATGAATAATCATCCTCGAAGTTGAATATTACCTTGGCAACTCATATCATAAATAGTTTTAGAGAAAAGATCTATTTGAAAAAAATTCCAAACTCAAAATTCTTCCTGCTGCAAAGAACTTCCAGTTTGACTCTGTTCCAAAATATTATAAACTTTAACTTTGTTCAACGTGCAATTGCAATAGATAAAGGTAGCATGGAAAAATCAGAAATTAGAGATTTTGATGAAATACAACAGAAATGAAAATTTCGTTTAGCTGAAAGAAATTGACCTTCCATTTCTTCTCTGATGAACAATTACAAGAAAACACTATTAATGTCATTCATAATTATATCATATATCAATTACAGCCATAATAACATCATCAATGTGGAGATCAGAATTATCGAGAGAAAGTTGTGGCAAATTAAATCTTAACTAAGATATTGATATCTGATAATTTGAACTAGGTAAAACATACCGGAAAAATAGTTATACGAAGTATGTCATTAAATGTCAAATGTTCAACAGGAAGGGTAATAGCATCGAGAGACATGAAAATTAATATATTGCCTGCAAAAGACGTAAAAAGATAATCAGAAATTACATATGAATACGCTGTGACCTTTTCTGATTCGTTTCCTTCACTATTTCCAGCAATATCAAAAATATTTAAATAACAGTCGTCAAGTTCTAAAACATTTTACATACATACACTAATCTGCGTCACAGAAAACCTTTACCATTGTTATTATTTTTTGAAACTTGTATTAAAGATAAATATTGTGATTACATCTACTACAATGTTTGTTACCATGGCAAGAAATGAAGATTAATTGATTCGACTATCACATTTTTCAAAATTGTAACATTACATACAACAGGGCATAAACAACGTATCCTACAAAGAAGCGGTGTTACACGGATTTGTAGTAATACGATCTATATAATTTTAAATTAACGACATAATGATACATGTTAATCATAAGTGTATAATAGCCGAAATTTGACATTTAGAAATATATTTGATGTTACATTCATTCTAATCACTCAGCAAAGTAACAAATTAAGACATCACAGCACATTATTGAAAATAACCAGTGTTTTCTCTCTGATGAAACACTGTGATCATCGATGAGAAAATTAAGATACGATTCTGCGATAATTTAACGAATAATCAAAATCCAAGTAGACATAACGAGAATTCTTTTCTGTACGAATAATCAAAATGATAAGAAATCACTTAAGTAAACCAGGACGCGTATTCTTTTACAAATGTTTCTGCTATCAGCTAGAGAGCTGTAAGAGATCATAACTGAGCTGTGGTGTCAAAGTTGAATGAACACTTAGTACAAAGATTATAGTGTAATGCAAATTTTTTCACATAGGCCAATGATTCTCCATCTAAATAGCAAAATTCTCAAAATTCTCCGAAATTTTTCTCAATACCAGCCTTTTGTAGGGTATTTAAATTCGAGTGTTATAAAAATACATCATTCAAAAACTAACCAATACATATTATATTACCCAAATTGTGAGGAATAAGTTAGTGATATCATCCCACATAACAAAGAGTGAAATACTGCGAATTTCATTAAAATAGGAATAAATTTACAGATGTCTCGTCTAAGAATTATGTTGAAGTTGTTTGGAACTATGGTTACAATGAACCGATCAATAAAGCTATATTCTGCAATTAGTTGACCTGAAAGCAGAGCAAAGCTATTATTCATTTATCCAGTTATATTCCATGTTTTTCGTGGCTTTCTTTATGAGAGTGGTAAGTAAATATCTTACAACAGTATTCAAGTTCAGAATCTGGATAATCTTATAGGTGATTTAACTGTGATTCAAGGAAGTATAAGAATGTTATCATAGAAGAAGCATCCCGACTCGATCCAAAAAACCAGAAAGCTGACTCGTAAAACACAAAATCCAATCCTGCGTCCACTTGCAACTGTGCCGACTTATCCATGCGGCAATTCTACAACTGTCTTTCTGACGAATAAAAACAGATATACATATGTGAAAATCAAAGATGAAAACTTTTACTCTTCCATTTTCAGTAAGCGTAAAAGTTTTTCTGTTGATGTTGTGGACGTCAGCTAATGAAAGGACAATTTCTTTTTCTGCCAAACGAGATTAAAATAAGGCTTTACTCGAATTTGAAAGTTTTCTTACATGGCACAACCGTTTTAATAGAAAGCAAGTCCGATCGAAGCTGATAACTATTAATATACAAAGCATCGATAAAGAAGTGTAAGCAAGGTTATTTTTGAATAAAACATCAACAATAACAATAATAGCTGAAAATTGATTATTTCAATATTAAAGGAATCGTACAAACAAATGAAACAAGTCGAAAATAAGTAAACCTGTTGATAAATTTTAAGAATCTTATTGGTATTTTTATCACTTAAAACATTTAATAAACACCAATAAAATAAAGTTAATTATTCAAATGCAAATAGTCTGCTCAGAAGGTGTTTTATCAATTATTTCAACAGAGAATACGTTCATCTTGTGAGTTACACTTTAATAAGCTAAAAATACCACTTTTTTTTCGAATCCAAAAATCATAAAACAGCACATGTTTCAACTAAACTTGGCAGCTACGGCAGAGTAGAAAAATGAAAGTAATTACTAAATTCAACGTAAAAAAGTGTAAAAATTAGGGCAAAAAAACAACAAATGCAAGTTAATATGTAAAACTGAAAGCAATAGTATTTCTTTCACTTACCTGAACTGTATTTTTAACCTGAAGTATTTTCTTCAATTTTAAATACTAAAAATTAAAAAAATTTATGATATGAACACAAACCAGCTCTTTTGTTTTTTTCACGAGCAGCGATTCGTTTTGATATTCGTTCTGCTTGTTTCACACGTGCACGGAGTCCCATTTTTGGTTTCCCAGATCCTGATTCAGATGACTCATCACTTTTTCGTTTTCTATGTTCCCCTTCTTTTTTGGCTTTCCTAGCAGCAGCTTTTCTCTCTTGTGCAAGCATTGCTGCACTTGCTCGACCCGTTTTTCGACTACTTCTCCTTCCCACTTCACGAGTTTCAAGTATTCTGCTTGCGCCTGTATCCGTTGATCGGTCTTCCAGATCAAGCGGCATCCTTATACACAATTCCTCATAAATGTAAACTATTGCCTTTGGCATTATATGAGCAAATCTGAAAACCAATTACCATTAAACCGTTATAATGCTAGCAAGGTAATTTGAAAACAAAATATTGGTACTGGTTTAATTATTAATCAACCAAACTGATAAATATATAATGCAGATTTATTGCACTTCAAATGTTAACACGTGACATGATACATGTAGTATTTTTTGGCGTAAATGAATTGAAACAGAGTGGAGTGAGCTATTAGTGACTACACTAATAGAAGCCAAGTTAACATGATACATCTAATGATGTATCTCAGACTTCCCATATTTTCCACTTTCGGTGAAAATAATGGAAAAACTTACTGATCACAAACAACCTCATCAAGGAAATTTTTCATATAGACTGAGTCAGCAACAAATACCAGAAAACCCAATTTGTTTACAACCTGAAATTAAAAATGAGTATTGAACACCCGCAGCCAACTCGTTTTCCAAATAATTCTTGCTTCCCAAGAAAAGCATCTTCTTACAATGTTTTTTTCTTTGCAGTATCAAAGACAAACTTCAGTTTCCTCGATCCGTTCTGGATGTTTTTTGATCAAATGAAGTTCGAGAAGCACCATTAATTCATACTCTCGAAGACGCTCGAAGATGTCCACTGCTCTTTCCTCACGATCATATTTCGTTGTTAAACCGTCACATGTAAGTATGATATATTTTTCAATAAACTCGTTTACCAAATCCTATAAAAATAACTCAAGAGCTCTGTATTAGTAAAACTAAATGTCTACAGTAGATGTTTAATACATATCAAAAAAACTTGAGATCAATTGCTGCTTCATTTTCAAAATCAGAAACATAAAGAAAATAAATAATGTTTTCCTTGTAACATTCATTTACAATAGCTGCGGTATACGCCTTAATACGAAAAAAACTTTTTCCGTCTACTACTAAAGAAAACTAGTGATATCAGAATTTTGGCATCACTAACCGACACAAGATCCGACCAAGTTATACGCATAAAATAGTGATGCAAAGTATTGATAATCATATAATAACACTGTAACGACTTCTTTCGCTTCCGTAAAATTTGGTCGTAGATAGGTAGAAAGACTTCCGGCAGTTTCTTTTCATCACAAACTAAAAAATGCATGATCTCAAATACATGTTAATTTTGCATCAGTAGTTTCTTCGCACAGCGTATCTGCATGTCGGTGGAAGTACATCACAAAAAACTTAGAGTTGAATAGTAATTGTAAACTAGACTACGTCATTACCCGATTAAAAGTCAATCATTTTAGAGGCATTTCGAAACTTTCTGCTGCAGTTAAAATTAATGCCTTTCGAAAAAAGATCTCCCAACCTTTAAATACCAAAATTTCCATCGAATGAAAACACAAAGACTAAAAATAACCTATATTTACGTAATCATTCGATTCTGCAGCTAGCCTACGCTCTGTGCGCGCTCGCACAAATTTCCTTACATTCTTCGGATATCTGAGATGAATTTTTTGAGCTTCATTGAAATCTTCCAATTTAGGAAGTAAATGATGCCTATCCG